GCAGTGATTCTCAACCACTGTGCCGCGGCACTTTTGTGTGACGCCAAATTCTTAAAATGTGCCGCCAAATATTAGAAATGATACAATAAAAATTATAATACTTTTTTTTATTTCGAGTAAAGTTTAAATTAAAGAAAAGTGTATATTATATATAATATTATATATACATACATAATATTATATATATATATATATATATACACAATAAAACTTTTTAGAACTCTATAAAATGAGTGTACTTGTGTTATTTTAATTGATCAAACAGTAAGGAATAAATGTTTATTAGCAATTTTCTTCACCAAAATATTTGTCATTTTGCAAATATCACCAGTTTTAAATTCATTAGGTATTATAAAATTTGATAATTAAAAAATGGAAATAATACTATGTCTTTTTATTTTGCAGTTATTCATGTACGTTGAAGATATATTTCCTGTTCTTCTTCAAACCTTATCTGATCCCTCTGATGAGGTAGGAAAAATTTGAAATATCTTTCTAACAATTTTTGGCAAAGCTGTTGAACTTAATCATTCCTTTTAATTAAAAAGTATTTCTTGTTCATTAAAATTATTTTATAAATTGGTTGAATTTCTATTAAATTTATAGGGTACTTAATTAAACTAATAAAATCGAGCATTCCATTACTTTTTTAAATTATATTTACATTTAGTTTTTTCTTAATTTAAAATTTTTAGAATATTTTATTAACTTTGTTTGATAAATCTTAAGAACTTAATCATTTCCTTCAATTGAAAGATATTTTTTGCTCACTAAAAACTATATTACATGTAAGAATATTGTATGATCTCAAGTAACTGCTAATATAGCATAAATACTACTTTACCCTTTAAGTGTTAGTGCCGGCTTTTTTTGAGATTTCAGATGTAGTCTTTCCTATTTCAAAAAAACCGGTTTCTTTATGTATTTAGAGCTACTGTTCTATCTTTGTGAGCAACAATAACATCTAATTTCTTAGTTAAGTCCAATGCAACAAGTTACTATATTTTATTAAATTGTAATTTCAATTTTTGCAATTATTTATTTTTTATTTAGGTAGTTCTTTTAGATCTTGAAGTTTTAGCTGAAATATCAAAGTCATCAGCTGGAATGAAATACCATTGTGGTTTAGAAAATGTTGCCTCGAGTTACTTGATGAAAGAATTAAAACTGAAAGCACCTGCTAATCTCAATAGTTATTTCACTAGTTTTATGATGTCTCTCTTGCATTTATTCAATACTAATAATCAATTATTTGAAACCAAATGCCCATTTATTATTAGGTAAAAAACTGTCTTTTTTCTATGAAACAAATTATTACAATTGCATAAACTTATTCAAGTTTTATTTATTTATTTTTGATCGAAATTTCACTTACATAAACAGCTTTTAACACTTATCTATTATATTTTATTTTTATAATTTAATTTATGTATAATAGTTTAATGTAATTAATTTAAATATTTTGGTTGATAAAATGTAATATTAGGTTCATTTAAGTGATATTACTTTTGAAAATTAATCAATAATGGGGTTTAAGATAACATATATATAGTTACAATCAGTGGTTTGAAAAACTACATTATTTTTATTGTTATCTACTGGTCTATTAGAAATGTAATTAATTTCACCTACAACTCCTTTTTTTAACTGTAGTGACTTCAAACTTATTTTAAAATGTAGTTACCATTTGACTACTTTTAGGAGATAAACTTCACTGAAAAACTTAATTTTAACTCTTGTTTAAAATTGTTTTGAATAAAAAATTGGCTCATATGAACTTGAAGAATTATTAAGAAATATTTATCCATATTTACATGAACAAGTTTGTTATTCTAAACCATTTTATAGGATTTTATTCCTTTAACCTACAACATCCAATGAAAAGGGCCTACCTTCTCGGCAGTGAATATTTTGTTTAAGAAATAATCAGATATTTGCATTTTTTTAAGTGTTTAATGCTCTTTTGTTTCCCCTAAGAAATGAAATACATCAAAAATTACTGAAAATATAATCCCTTAAATTGAAATAACATCAATGTTTCTTGAATGTGCGTTCGCATTTGAAGGTGTGGCTAAAGTGATAAGGGCTAGTGTACATGTTTTTATTAATGCACAATCACAGGAATGTTCTCCTTACGTTATTGACAAACCTGCAATGATTTGTACCAATCATATTCAAAAAAAAGTGATTCATTACTAAACTAAAAGTGATTCTTTACTAAACTAATTTTAAAAGTAGATGCTAGAAATCACTACAAACTACTGTTTTTTTATTATTATTATTTATTTATTTATTTTTTTTTTGTTGCACTGCTTAATCGGCCACTTTTTTTAAAAAAAAAGTAGAATACTGCAAACATTGAAGAAAAAAAAAGTAACATTTACGGTAGTTTTGCTATGTGTAACCACTGATGTAAACTATACCGTAATGAACCTTATTGTTTAGGATTAATTAAAGATGTAACCTTATTATTTATAACAAGATTAGTATTATTTTGAATGATTGTTTTCTTTCAATGCTAATGTTAAATTGGCATGTACAAAGTCTTCAGTGTTAAAAATTATTTTTGTCTTAGGTGGCATATTTGTCAACATTTTTTGTAATGAAATCAAATATTATTTGAGATCACATGAAATCATTTAATAAAAGACTAATGATTCCACATTCATATTTTGAATTAATATCTTTATAGGCAGCTCTGCATATTATTGAATGCTGAAGAAATCTATCTCACTTTATCTGAAATTCTAGTCATTTACAACGATTCTCGTTTTTCATGTCATATGGTTCATACCTTAAATAACATCCTTCTAACCTCCACAGAACTTTTTGAGCTTAGAAACCAATTAAAAGAGCTGAAAACAGAGGTAAATAATTTACTATTTTTTATATAGTTACTCTGATATTTTGTAATCAGCTTTAATCCTTGGTTTTATTTTTAAGTTTTATTAAGATTGCTCTTGAATATTATGCAGAATTAAAAATTAATTTACTCTATTACCTACTCTAGAATTTCTGCTTTGTTTTGCTTGCACTATTAGTAAATTATTAATCTAGAATGAAATTTACAAAAACAATTGCTTATAAAATTTGTATGCTTAACACTTGTATAGTATAATTTATAAATTTATGAAATATTTTTTTAATTCAATTTACTGTTTGAATCACAAAATGAATTATAACACTAGTTATTTGAAAATAAATTATTCAGATTTGCATTGAGTTTTTTGTATTTTTAATGTTATATTGTCTGTAAATAAATGAATTGATCAGAAGTATTGTATGTATTTTTAAAGCACACACCACTCTGAAAAAATGCAACTAATATACAAGAAAAAAATTGTATTTACAAAATTATTCAGATTTAAAACTAAAAGCATAACAAATTTTACTAAAGCATTACTCAACAATTTTTTTAAGTGCCATGGCTACTGGGATTAGTAGATCTCTGCTAACTAAAATTTGCTTATACTTGGAAATATTATTTCTCTCTCTTTGTTTATTACTAAAACCATATGAAACATGATTATTTCTTTTTGTTGACTATTTAAGTTACCTTATTTCTTATTCTAAGTAGGAAATTATTTTTGCTATCCTACTTATAATTGTAAAAATATTAACTTTTTACTCTGAGTTTGTCTTTTATATATATATGTATGTATATAATATTGCTTTTTTTGTATTTAAATAGAGTAGCTGGTCATTATTTAAGTGCCTGTACCTCTCTTGGTGCCATAGTCCAGTTGCCACTGTATCTTTGTGTCTTTTAGCTCAAACTTACAAACATGCCTGTGATCTTTTACAGCTTTTGTATCCTTTTAAATGTTATTAAAATTAAGATGTGGTGCATATAAAAGCTGATTTTAGTACCGAAAGAATAAAATGTATCTTTGCTGTATTTATAAGAGTAGAGTGACACAGACCTGCCTGCTCTCAGGCTTTTGTATCCAATCTCAGGAAATAAGGCCACCCATGTATATTCCCAGGATATTTTTTTCATCGAATAAATGTATGAATTGGCAGGTTCATGCTCACTTTGCATGCAGCCCCCAAAACTTTCTTTCAGATCAATGATTTTGTAGTTGCTCAACTTTGGTTTATCCTTTTTTTTTTTCTCAAACATTATTGATAAACTTGATAAATTATGTCTGTGGATAAACCAGAAAATGGTATCAACAAACAACCATATTGCGGAGAATTTCTCTTTTTAAAATTATGTGTTAATTCATACTAAAATAGCTAATTTAAATAATAATTCAATTCTTACTTTTTCAAGCACCAAGTTTTTTGTTGATAGTTTTTCTGTGTAAGTCGAAGTTTCATGAAAATATGATAACACTTGTCTCTTAATATTCTATAAACTCAAGTTTTTTTGCTTTACTCTGAAAATACATTTCAAAATTTTTTTATTTAATGTAAAGTCTGTAGCAGAAAAATTAATGCCTCTGTGTGTGTAATGCCAATGTGTTGGCCAAATTAAACATACTTCAGTAATTAACCATTTCCTATACTGATGCAACCAATGAGGGAATATTCAGCCTAATCCAAAAAAATCTATACATAAGTCTATATTTTGTTAAATTTGAAGAATTTGTTAACATGGAAGAGAAACCAAAAAAAAAAAAGAAATCGTAAAAGCTTTTACAAAACATTTTTAAAAAATTTTAATTCTCCCAGTCAGTCTATTTTAAAACAATAGTTTAATTTAATATTTTTCAATTTTTAAGGATAAAAAAGCTACCTAAATAAATTTAATATAAGGAATGTGAATTTATTTGTTTATATTTTTATTATAGCTTAGCTTACTCAGCTTAGGTAGTACTATGCTACTGTCACAGTAAGTCTCAGGCTTTTCGAATTTGAGGTTGACAAGTTTGATAACACCATTCTTCAACATTATTTAAATAATAACTTTAATAGTACCTGTGTTAGCCAGTATAAGAAAATTAATTTTAAATTAAGAAAATTATTTTAAAGTACTATTTCAACCAAAAGTCTGATTTTCAACATTTAAAAAATTCAATGTTTTTTTTTTTTTTTTAAGCGACAAAGTACTACAGGTAGTAAAACATTTTCGGTGGTAAAATAGGTGCAACAAATGCAAAAATTTAAAATTTTGTTATAGCCATTGCATTTACATTCACAAATGAATTTTTGACTAACATTGAACATTTCAGCAATTATATCAGACCTGAACTGTATAATGTCAGACACAGATTTTTCTGTTAAGGCAATGTATTTGAATTTTGTTATTCCTTAAATATAATTCTTACCTGCTTCAATAATTAAATTATTCGCTCTATGGCAATTAGCTGCTTCAGTTACTTAGAAGCATAAACTTCTGAAGGAGAGAAACCATGCAAAAAACCACGGCAGAACAAATAGATTTTTTTAACCCAAGTGGAAGAAACTCTTTTTTTTTTAAAAAAAAAAAAGAATCAAATATTTAAATATTTTTATAATCATAATCAAGTAGTGTTAAATATGAATACTCAAACTGACTCTTAAATAATATGTAGATTTAATATGTTAATGTTGTTATATAGATTTAAAATTTTTTGTATGACTCATAACTAATATGACATATAGATTTTAAAATTTTGTATGCATCTAAAATTTATGAAAATATTTATTTTTTAAAAAAATTATATTCGAGAATTGAAACTTTAATTTATAAAATTTAAGCTTGTTTTAATACTTATTGGTAAACAATAAGTAGGTTATTTTTAGTTTTTGCCATTCCGTACAGTTTCCTAGAAGAAATAAAATCCTCGCCCTGGTTTGAGTGAGCACTAAATTTTTCTTTGGTTTCAGAACATGAACTTGTTACTTTCCATGTCACATATCAGGACCTTAATCTTTTGACTATACCATCCTGATAAAGAAGTTAGTAATATAATATGCTCTTGTAACATCTGACATAATGTTTGTAACATCTAACTTGAAAAAAATGTTTGTTTAAGTACTTACTATTTATATTTTACCTTACAAATTGACTTACATAGCCATTTTGATCACTGGAGAAAAAAACTTAACTATTAACTATTTTTTTTATGCTTTAAATAGTAAACATAGCCTGATAAAATTCAGTTGAGTTTTGTTCTTCAATTTTTTCTCTATAGATTTTTAAATACATCAATTATAATTATGATTAACCTATATTTCTATAAGTATTCTTATCTTATTGTGAAATAATAAGTTTTTGAAATAAAAAATTTTGACGAGGTAGTTTTTATGTAGCTGAAATACTGAAGATAACGTTGAAAGTTGATGAGAAACTATTGTTCATTTTCCGATTTTGGGGTATGATTTTAAAATTATAAATAGAAATAATGTTAACTAATACTTATACATAAAAATAATATGACTTAAACAAATTTAATTATAAAAATTTAACATTTTTTTCAATGTATGCTTATTAAAAATGTGTATAAATTAATCTTAACCTTATAAACAGTGGTGATATTGAAGTAACAGTTGATTTTTTAACAGAGATTGATAAATTAGTGCAGCTCATAGAATCACCAATTTTTACTTGTAAGTTTCATATTCTATTTTATTCCCTTTACGATTATAATAATTGCTAGAAATTGATTATAAATATTTCATATTTTTTTGTTACAAAAGTTATTTTTCTTATTTTTTATATTTTACTTTTCACCCAAAATTTTAATTGTTTTGGACCTAGTGCAAATTTTATGCTTGTTAGTGTTATTCGTTGTATCATGCAATTAAATTTATCAGAATTGTTATGCTTTTAAATCCTCAATTTCTGTAAAGTTTTTCAAAATCCCTGAAACGGTAAGCATTAAGTATTAGACAGATAGTCTTATTTAAAATTAAAATTCATATAAATATATATTCATATAAAATTAAAATTCATACATTCTGATTCAAAATTGTTATTATTTGCATTACATATAAGGACAATTCCATGATATGAAGGACAACATAACAAAACAATAAACATTAGATAGCGTCTCTCCATTAAAAAATTTCTTCGTTTTTTATTAACTATTTTAGGTATAAAATCGTTTTTGAAGTATTTTTTAATGATAATAAAAAATTTTATTAAAGTTTTAATATATTTGTAACCTCAGCCACCAGAGCTTTTTCTCAGTTTTTATTTGTCATTTCATGTGTACTTGCAATGTTCTTGTTAATTTAACTTTTTTTTAAAATAAGTTTAAAAAATCAATTCCATTATTGCTTATAGAAGGAGAATTTCAAAATAAAAACATGAGGCTTTACTCCTATTCTTTCTATGTAATGTCAGTTACATTTTATATTTTTAAACTAAATAAAAAATTTATTTCTCTTACTTTTTTCTTATGTGCATAATACTATTAGGCTACTAAAAAACATTTCATATAATTTTTAAAAAAATTATTAAATATATATCAGTAAATAAAAGTTTAAAAATAAGAAATTTTTTCAAAATGTAATGTCAATCACTATGAAATCATCCATAGGTGGAATAAATATATTATGTCATAGTGATGTCAATTTTCGAAATAACTTACTATAATAACTATATTAAATTAAGTACAATTACATTTCAGTTAATAAATATTTTCAAAATATATTCTATTTTTGTGAATAATTTTTAATTATGCATTGAAAACTATGATTGTAGTTTTTAGTAACTACATTTTTTTGTTTTATTCAGTTATGAGATTACAGTTACTAGATGCACAGCAAAATCCTTATTTAGTAAAGAGTCTTTATGGTCTTCTAATGCTACTACCTCAAAGTGATGCATTCCATACTCTGAAAAACAGGCTGGCTTGTGTACCAAACGTTCAACTCATGCCTCCATTAAAGTCAAAGTTAGTAAATTTATTTATTAAAAAATCTATGCAATAGCAAAAAAATAGTTACTTTATTTATTAAACTTTTCATTTTTTTTTTTTTACAGTCAAAATAATTTTTCTCAGATAAATAGTATTTTAAAGTAATTCAATCTTTAAAAGTTAACTATTATTATGTTCTTAGTTTTATTATAATTTCATTTGTTTGAATATTATTTTATTGTAGGTAAATGTTAATTTTTTCATAACTTAGATTACAATATATTAAACTGCGATATAATGATCACTTTCATTCCAAATCTTTATTTAATTTCATTGATACATTTATTTTTACATTTGTAAATCATTTCTGATATTTTTATGCATGTCTTTAAATTAGCCTGTTTATAATAAAAGAATGTACTTTGTAAACAGTTTTCTTATGTTTCTAAATATCGTAAAGCTGATTTTTTGTAAATTAACTAAAATATCACTAAAAGTATTTTTCCTACAAAATTTTCACTTATTTAATGCTTTATTCCGCTGTAAATATGGACCAATTATAATCCTGCCAAGTCTTTGAACAAACATGTTAACAATAAAAGCTTTTCAACCCATCACACGAAGAACCTGAGCTAGGAAATATAATTTTCTATTAATTACGTCATTCAAAATCAAAGTGTAAAAATAACGATAGTTAATTCAGATTAGAAGTGGAAAAACATAGTCACCACTCATCACAAGGAGGGACCATTATTTATCTATTTATCAAAAATCCAGTCAATTACTATAAAAAAGAATAGTTTAACATTATTTAATGAAAGATAAAACTTAATATGCATTTCATATTATGTTTATAAACACTGGCCTTCAGTGCTCATTAAGAACAATTATATCACATTAATTAATATTTATTTTGCATTTCAAATCTATAATTAGAATACTTATTTATGTTACAAGTGTGTAACTGAGAAAAAGTTTCAATGGAAGTTATCATTCATTCATAAAATGATTATACAGGATTAAGATGAAATAATTTTCAAATATATAATGCTTATTAATGGCATGACAACTCTATTGCAATCAATAATAAATGAGATTCAGTTTTCTTTGATTTTACTCTTACCCTTTTCAATTGCTATTCCATCTTCAATCATTTAATTTTATTTTTATTTTTGTAGATCAAAAGAAGATCGTAAACCTCCTTCTTTTATAAATTTTGATGAACTTATTTCACATTTCAAAGAACTTCAGGATAGACGCTTGAAAGAAAAGAAGGCTATAGTCTGGAAATAATATTTAATTCTTTTATAAATACAATTTTCTATAAATTCTGTGTAAGATATCTTTTATATATATATATATATCATAGTTGTATTATAATCATAATGAGATGTTTTTATTCACATGTATTATTTTAAAAGTATCAATAAATTTGTTGAGTTTTACCTTTTTGTACAAATTAAAATAGCTATAGATTATTTAATATAATAGTATTGCTTTTATTTGAAATGTTTTAAATAAATGCCCTTTAATGTATATTTTTATATTATGAAATTTTTTATTTAGGAAACTCTTTTATATCAAATAGTATTAAGCATGTTGATAATCATTAAATATTTATTTTATTTTTCAAATTACAGTTGTATCCACTTTAATTTATGTTACTTATATTATGTGATTATGTTTATTTTTATCAGTTTTTTTTTCATAATTTTTTTTAAACTGTTATATTTCTTTAATGAATACCATGTATCTCAGTGTATTAGTCGACCCCGCATTTTTGATTAACAGATAGCAAATTTCTGGTATCTCAGGTAGGTGTATAATTCAACCACTGAAAAAAACTAAATTTGAAAATTTCTAACATTAAAAAAAAAATTTATTTAGTCAGTCTTAGTCATGTCCAACTTATTGCCAGTAAGTCAATCGCTTGATTTTCGTAAAATAAAAAATTCGTAAATTAAAAAGTTGACTTATAAACTAGGATATACTGAACTTTCTTCAATAATTTTGAATGTCAAATTATTATGCCAGAGAATTTGCATTTATGAAACAAAAATAACAATTTCTTGCATGAAAAAAAAGTGGATATAAAAATTGTAACACAATATTCACTGTGAAATAAATAGTTATTCCCTTCATGCGATTTTCTTTTCAATCTCAATTTTTTATTCAAAATTGTAGAATATCTTTTGCAAGGAATATAACAAAAAAATTTATTTTTATGTATTCCAGTTCTAATGCAAGCAAGAAGAAAATAATGAATACTGTCATTTTTTTTTTTGATCCAATGACTTTTCAATGACAATTAAGGAAAAGTAAACTTGACCATAGTAATATTCAATATTAAATTATTTATGTGGCAGCTCTCAACACACTGCACGATCTTTAACATTTATAGAAAATTGTTTTTTTTCTTCCTATTGACCTCTTCGGCTCTGAATCCTGAATTGGGTAGATTAAAAATCAGAGTGCTTAGATACGCTGCACTATATATAAGTATCTTAAATATGAATTGTAATATTCAGCCAATTCCTAAACTAATCATAAGATGTTATAATAATAGGACACCAAGCTAGAATTAAGCAAAATGAGAACATTTTTTCAGTTGAATGAACTAAATTTTCATTCAAATTATTCAATTTGGCATAAAGAGTTTAATTTCTATTATGGAATAATTTTAAAATGGAATTATATATAATATTTTGAAATAATAATATAATATTGTAGAAACTAAAAAAAAAAGTGCATCTACCTTTTAACTGCAAATGGCTTAAAAAGTGTATTAAACATGTATAATGGCTTAAAACACGTACATGTATTTCTTGCATGTATGTATAGTAGACACTAGGTTTTAAAAATAAGGAATATGGAGTAATGTATTCTTGTAAAGATGTGTTCTAATATTATGACGCTAGGGCCGAAGTGGTTAATGATTCGATATAAATAAAGTAGGTAGCTCTTCTACTGCTGTTGCTCTTCTATGTATACATTATGTAGCTCTTCTGATGATGATTATGTAAAACTCACAGAAAAAATTCTTAATTGAAGTTAAGGGAAATTTTATAAGCTAATTATATTACAGTAAAAATTGTTCACGAATTCATAAATATTTATTTGTAATTTTAAAAAATAACATATTTTTAAATTTTCTTGAGACGATTGATTAAAATTATTAAGAACAAGTAGTATGGAATGCTGCCCAACTTTATGACAAACTGCATCTATTTCTAAAGACTATAATATGTGCTAGCTGTATTATGATTGATTGCAGATTTATTTTTTTGCCAAATATTCATACTTTTTCCTAATAGTTCCACTTTACACGTTTGACTACTAGCTATTTTTTATATGTTATGAATTGTGAAAATAAAACACCTTGTACTGCAATATTAAATAGTTTAATGATGAAATTCAATGTTTTTTTTTTTCAAAATATTAAAAATTTAACGTTTTAAAATATATAATTTGTATTGCATGACATATAATTTATTTTTTTGTGATGTCTTTATATTATTACTATATTTTCGTATACTAAATTATGAAAGAATGTCAAAATACATTTGTAATAAAAGATTTGTTAAATAAAAAGAATATTCTGTATCATTATTGACTATAAGAAAATCTCAGTCCTAAATAACTTGTGCAAAGATTGTTTCACAAATACCAGTATTATGCACTGCACTGATATGCAGGAGTGCACTGATCGGATTGTTGCCACTCTAATTAACCACCTTGAATTATAGATGAACTGAATTAATAAACTTAAAATAATCAAATTTCCTCACCTGTGTAAACCTTTATAAACAGTTTTAACTTGTTTGCTTAATTTCATTATTAAAATTTACACAAGCATTAGCAAATATAAGTTCATTCTGAATTGCTATAGAGTTAAAAAGATAAGGTGCTATAGAGGAACAACCAGTATGTTCTAATGTTGTTCTGGGTAAAATAGTAGGTAATGCAGGTTATTATAACTTTGAAATTAGCAATTTAATAACTGTCTAAAAATCAAAATTTTGAAACATTAAAAAAGAAAGATGTATTTAATTGCAGACATATTCCCTTGCTCCAAGAGAATTCAAAGTTGAAAAAAAAGAACTTCGAAATAGATATTCAATGTTGCTAAGCTATTGATTACTTCAATATTGATTGTAAGAACTACTACAATAAAAAAATGGTTAGCTGGAGGATTTCTAAGATTGTTAATCCTGGTTTTGAAATATGATAATCAACATTTGCTATGGCAAATTCAATATAGCCTTTTGAAGAATTGATTGTTTAAAGTAAATTATTTCTTGATATTGACTTTAAATTGCAGGTATACGACAGATAAATTGTACTATTAATCAAACACTATTTCAACTTCAATTTTAACCCTTTACTGTATAGTGTTGTCTCTAAAAACATTCTTTTTTGAGGAGAGATCTGCATTTTTTTAAAATCTAGTATGGGTTTGATATTTTTTTAATTGTGGTTTTAACATTCACAAAAGTAATTAAGGATGCAAATAATGCTAACTTATATAACGAAATAGGTCGTTTAGAGGTTTATCATTAATAAATGGTAAATTTTTTAAAGATTTACTATAATAAATCTTTAAAAAATTTAGTATACTAAGTAAACTATTTGTGAAAGAAATGAAAACCGTAGTTGAAATTCTTTTTTTATTCTGGGGCAAAAAAAGATGTTAAATTGATTTGATAGTTAAAATCGCTCAAAAGTTACACAGGTAGCATAGATTAAATAAAATTTGGAATGGAATTTTTTTTTTAGTGTGTACTACTAGAATTAGCTCCGTCATCGTGTTTTGATAAAATTTCAATTTTCACTAATTTTGTTTTATTTTTATTAACGCTAAAAAAGTAGTATTTTTATTAATAATAATAAAGAAAGTGAAATACAAAAGTTCCCTTATGATCCACTTCCTTTTCACTTCTCCTCACCACGTAAATTTAGGCCAGCTTAATAACCCCTTCAAATTGTGGTTATAATTCTGAGAATTTTAAACCGTATACAGTTGGAAACCTTAGTTCCTGTATCCTTAGTACACTTACATATTAAGACAATTTCCTACATTGTTGGAAAGATTAAAAATGATTAGTGATCACTGAAAATTTTGACCCACAATATGCTAATGTTCACTACTTAAATTAAGAATTTTGTCGTCCTTTCGTTTAACTTAGACGGAATACTGGATTTTTTATGGATGCCTACGAACTATCAATTTAATGTTCGTGTAAAGAACCATATAGTGATTGAGATCCTCTATAAGTCCGCTTATTAAGTGTATGGAAACGCATGTGCGTAAGAGGTAGCATACTTCTGCTTATAGCAAAATTTATACTTCATATATCTTTTGTAGCCCTTCAAGAGACTCAATTTCACTTACTATAATGTCCTACCTTTTCCAAAGTTGAACATTTGCTAGTAAAAAACATTTTTGATATTCTTCTGCTTTGATTTTCAGAGCATTAGTTCTAAATTAGTCTGCACAGAATATCGGTATTAAATCTTCGCAATATTTGAGTTGAATGGTTCTTAATGCAAACTTTCTAAACATTTTACGAGTGAAATATGGTTTATAAATCATTTATTTACGGTTTTTAAACCTATTTTGCTGTTATTTATTAATCAATGAATCAGCGCAGATGCCTCATCTGGTTTAAAGTGTTCCATCACTTTTTCACAGCAGCAAGAACAGTTCGTTGGATGAAACTAAGGATAAAAATCAATGGCAACAAAGCGTCATATTGTTTATTAAAGTGAAGAAAAAAATGTAGTTTGTTGTGTGTCAGTTTCGCTTCTTTAGTTTCTGAATGAGATAGATCGCTGTAGACACAAATGGTTCGAAATATATTTGTTATTTTGAAAATAGATATTATTTTATTTGATAAGTTGCAAAAGATTTTTATTTAGTGTTCTTTAGATCGATGTTATAAAAATTGATTTAATGAGCTTTTTAGTTGGCGGTGCGATCAGTTAATTTTTTCTCAAATAAACATGTTTATGAAAAAGTATCGTTCAGATTTCTATCTGAAAGTGCACATGATATGTTCAGATTTAGAAGCGAATCGAACTTCTCCTATGTAAAAACAGCATTTTAAGATTAAAATGTGAAGATGTCACTAAAAAATTAATAACTTTTTTACTTAATAAGTGAATGGTAGACTGTAGTTATTAAATCATGGAAACTACAGTAGAAAAAGAATTTAGTGCCTTAGGTGGATTATTCCAACATATACTATCAGATTTAAAGGTAAGAACGAATTAATCCAATCTTTGTTGTATGCATTTAAACATATCATCATGTTTGTCATTTCAGATGTTTTAGGTATTTTAAAATCTTGAATTCTCATTGAGGTAATGTTTTTAAACAAATGTTTTTAGGGGGTGTCATGTTTATGAAGTGACTTAAAATTATTTTAAAACACTTGTTAAAATTGTTTTGTTGTACGCTTTATTATTTTTTGTAATCAGGGATGCATAACTAATTTAGATCGCTGGTCACAAAAACTGAAAATACCATGTTTTGTTCATCACCAAAGGTAAGATAAACTGTAAAAATGCTGCATGTATATTATTTGAAAATAACTTAAATATGTATACCTATTTTATTATTAAGAGCAAATAACTAAAATAAATGTACCAAAATATTTATTAATAATAAATCTAAACAAGCTTTAAGATTGCGGAGCTAATTCAATATTTTCTTTAATTAATTAGCTAGTAAGATTCATAAGCATAGAAAATTTTTTTAACAAAAATAAGAAAGCTAAAAATTTTCATATGTCACAAAAGTTCTTTGCTTATTTTTCTGACAAAACTAAATTTGTTGCTAAATTTATTATGCATTATCAGATTAATAAAATGGTTGTCATTAGAATTTTCAAATTTTAATTTTTTTAATTTATAATATTTTGTTGATTTTGGAAACTTTTTTTTCAAATATTTCATTGATTTTTGTTAGAAATAATATGGCACTTGAGGCACTGAATTTATTATGGTAAACAAAGCTTGCATAATAAAATGGTTGCAATACAATTTATAATTAAATTATTTTTTGCTTTGTTTTGTCTTGACTCTTGACCATAACAAAATTATGGAAAAGAAATAATATCTAACAGAAAGTTGAAGTATAAGTAGTAGTATGTTAATAGTTGATGAAATAGCTCAATAATTTTATTACAATGAAACTTCAGACACTCGTGAGGCTGATAAGACAAATAATGTAGTTCACTTTAATGAGATGTCTGCTTAGGAGAAGGAGTAGTAAATTGCTTGAGAAATCTAATGTTGTTAACTGTTATTAATGTTATGTTATAAACTCTTTTAATTTTAAGTATGACAGTTCAGTTTTAACATACTTAAAAATTGCATTCATATTTATTTAAACCTAACACATAAAATCATAATGATTCATAGGGATATTTTCATATTGTGATCTGCCGTACCAACTACAATCGCCAATGTGCCAAATACATTTTAAACTTGCAAATTAAAAATAAAAGCACAAATGTGTAGATGTTTACCCTGGTGGTGGCTACGAGTTACCTACTGAACTAATAATTATTGAAAATTCTATTTACTACTACTGAAAATGCTATTTATCTACTATTATCAACTACTACAAAATATCAAATATTTCTCCTTGCCCCGTGGCAGAATCGCACAACATGGCCAGACATTACGGAGCTCTTGCAGAAAGATTTTTGAAAAGTAAAAAAAAGAATATATATTTTTCTTTTCTACAAAAATTTACAAAGTAATGTGTGAATCATGTATTTAGATAATCACTTCTTGACTTGCTCAATTTGTGTTGATAGTATCTTAAATCGATGTAATGTTTTAATTGTATTTTTGGCAGTTATTGATATTGATTTTCGCATGGATTTTAAATATCCTGATATATTTCAGACAATATGGAAAATTCGAGTCTTGCATTTGAGTATTTTCTCTTTAAGGCAATAATTCTATCATATTTTTGGTAGTTATTGCAATTGATTTCTTTATTTTTTAAAAATACAATATTATTTGTTACAACAACCTAATCTTGAAATGAAACACGCATTTGCGAAATCTGATTCGCGTGATTTTGTAGTCAGTCTTTTTTTGGCTATTACTGCTGCAGGTTTCATAGTTTTTTATTATTTTTTTATTGTCATAGTTATTTGCAAAATACAAAGAAGGAAATAATTTGAGTGTCCCCCCCCCAACAAAATGCGAGAATTAATAGTTTTAAAAAATTATATAGTTTTTTTTTCAAGAACAACGCTTTTGTTATTTTAAATTAGTAACATATATGTTTGTTATTATTAAAAGTATCTGCCAGAAAGTTATTAGTGCTAGAGAGTTTTATCTCAGATAGCTCGGAATAATTCTGCCACAGGAGTCCTCTGTAGTTAAAAGACTTGAGCATTAAAATATGTTTGCTTGAAAGGTATTTAACTCTCTTGAGATCTTAGTGTAAAGATAGTTGTTGCAATGAAAATTGCTATAATTTAATAAAGAACTCGCTGCATTGCAATTAATCTTTAGTAAAAAACCACAAAGACATGTGAAGCTTGCATTTTTTCTCCTTCTGCCAAAACTTTATACATTTTAAATTTTTTTTGCTATAGATTTATGCTTGAATTTTTTTCTGTGACTTTTTATTAAAATGTTTTTACCATATCAAATATTCATCAGTGCCATTTTCCTGTCATTGCTAATAGAGATACAGTCAAAATTTCATTAAAATCCTTTCCTGATTGCAAACCAGCATCCATATAAACTTATTCATTTGCTCTAATCTAAATAGTGTTTTTGAATCTAATTTAAAAGCCTGAGCCTAAATTTAATACTGCTCCAATACATATTTAAAAATGAAATGAAAAACTTAAGATTGTATTAATAATAAGAGATTAAAATGTAATCAAAAATTTGCTGTAAAGCTGTACATCATTATTCAGCAAACTTTTCCTAATTTACTTCTGTATTTTGAGAGTGATGTAGTGTCAACTGATTTGTGAAACAAAATGTTATTAAGGGTAAAGTTATTTATCCCTCTTCCTCTTTAAAAAGTTCAAAGTTCTTTAGTAAAATTTAAAAAAAAAATAAGTTACTAGTTATCTTTAAATGATTATAATTATTTTAAAGTTTATTTTGTTTTGTTATCGCTATCATCATATTTGATATTTACAAACAACACTGTGATCTGAGTCAATAGCATGGGGTGAATGTTTATTCTTAAGGATTGGGTTGCTCATCTATTAAATAAAGTTTAAATTAAGGAAATGAATGAATAAATATAAAATCAAGAAAAAGTAAAATAACCCATGCAAATCCATTCTAATATAAATTTTAGAATCTTTTAATTTTACTTCACAATTTTTTCGCCATGCCACTTTACATTTCATTTTAAATAAAAATAACTGTTAGAACTATTTTTATCTCAAAGCATTCTCATTGGTTACTCTAAGTAGACTTTCAACAATAAAACTTTTTTTAAATAATAATTCCAACAGGAAATTATTTGTAATGTACAAAAAGAGACATTTTTCTTTTTTTATTTAATTTTTCTTTTTAACTATTATTTCATTAAATTTGAACATCCAAACACAAAAATAAAAAGTGCTCTATTTGTTTCCTTAGCAATTTATATAAAAAAAACTATATAAAAGAAAAACTGAAAATTATAGTAAAACATTTTATTTTTGTTAAAATTATCAGCTTATTAATTAATAATTTTTTATTCAAGGATTTGTTTTTAAATTTGTATCTGTCAATCTGGCTTTTTATGAATTAGAAGAGATTTATTTTTAAATGAAATAGAAAATCTCTCAAATGTTTCAATCAAATCATGCCTAATTCAAGATTTATCCCAGAGATCATTTTGTGTAACACCTCTGAAATTAAACTTTTGTAAGAGCACTAAGTTTGTCACAAGGACAAGATATTAATTTTTGTTTTGTGAATTTTTCATATTTTTGATGTGAGCATAATATTTTCTGTGTGAAAGAAATTAAGTGTTCACCTTTTATTTTCATGGTGTAGAAAAATAGATAGGGAAAGAAAAAGGTATGATATAAAATTTTTGTCTGTGCTGCTCTTGCTTCATTTCTTGCAATATGAATGATACTAAAATTTTTAGCCTCCTTCTTTAGCAAACCCTATATTTATATAGAAATTTTTTAAGCATTTAGGCATCTTAATATATTTTTTCATTGTACTTACAGGGTGGAGGCAAGATAATGGAAACTCATCTATACTAATAAATTTTTTCATATTTCTCATGAAACTTAAAGAATCATTTTATAACTTCAGAAGTGTTTAGATCATGCGATTTCTCATATTGCGATTTCTCATATACGAAGCTTAAAGCTTTTAGAGGTTTGAGGGACCGACAATAAATGACAAACGAAAAATAGTGTTTTTGAACACCCTATGCCAAAAAATGTTGCAATAAATTTGTAACTTGTATAAATTGTTTTGGTTATTATATCCAATAATTGCTCGAAATTTCGCAACCCTATTTAAAATATTTATGTAAATACAGATTATATAAAAAACATTATTTTTTGTCTTAAGTTTTTTTTTTTTTTTGCTATAACTGTAAAAATATTCAATAAAATTAAACTAAATTTTTGGAGCAATTTAAAATTAATTTCAAAATAATTGCTTTAAAATTTATTTAAAACAGCGCAAGATATAAGTAATTTAAGTAGTTCTTTTATATGCAGAAAAAAATTAAATTTGTTTTTTCTTAGTTTCCTAGTGTATTTGGCAAATAATAAAATAAGTCCGATTTGAATATTTAAACAATTTAATTAGTTTCAAACAATTTTCAAAGTAGTTTTATTAATAACTAGTACTTATTAATAATTCTTTTATTAATATGAATTTTTCGATTGTCCCAGATAAATTTGATTTTCGAAATTATAAATAAAAATAAAACTTAGTAATTCATTTATTAATATCGAATTTTCAATAGTTTCAATAATTTCAGTGTTCTTTTTCAATATTTCAGTGAAACATAAACTTAAGAAGGATCATATTTGATTCATTAAATTTTTTGACAAGTTAAAAATTTAAAAAACTGTTGTAATATTCATTGAAATAATATTTTAATGTACATAGTTTCTCTAAATAACTTTTTTTTCAACCTACGGGGTCTAACTTTTACAAACTGGATTCGATTACGTAATCCTGCAAAAATTTTCTTGGACTCTGATTAAAGAATTTTTTTTTAACGGCACCTAGGTAATATGGCTTATGAAGACATTTTTTTAAAACATATTGCAAACTTTATGTAATATGTTTACTTGTATTTAATACATCTCATGTTTATCCAATAATTCATGTAAAGTTAAAAGCGTTTCAAAATAGCTTAATTTGAACTAAGTTCATATTTTTTTTCTTTTTCTGAGAAATATGTATTTGCTTTTACATCTTTTCTTTAGGTAAACGATAACGGTAACGCACTATCTTTGAAGTGAATATAAAACTGTCGCTAACGAATTTTGATTAGAACAAAAGGAAAATAAAGAAACAGTTACGAAAAAAATCACTAACTGATTAACTTAACTACTTCATTATCGGAAATACATATTTTTGAAAGGTGAGAGGTAAGGCGTTTAATATAAGGAGAATTCGATGCCAAAAAAAAAAAAAAAAAAAAAAAAAAAAAAAAAAAAAAANAAAAAAAAAAGAAGCAGACTACTTTAAATAACTTTAGATCTATCAGATCTTCACATTTGAAGTCTCAATCTAATGACTCGAGAGGGTCATAAAAAAAAACGTACTTTCTCTTGATAATTTTTGCACACAATTATAAAATTCATTTATCCAAAGATGCAAAAAAAATAGCCTTTAGTAAATTTTTATTATTTTATTTAATAATGGTCGAAAAAATGTTAAATTGTAAGGTGTGCAAATTTTTGTATCATTTTAAAGAATATAATTTTACAAGGCAAAATACAAAATTTGAGCAAAATCGATCGAATAGTTCCTGAGAAATCGAATTTTAAATATCTGACTTTTTGAAATTCAATTTCTCAGGAACTATTCTGCCGAGTTTGCTCAAATTTTGTATTCTGCTATATAAAATTACATTCTTTAGAAAGATGCTAAAAATTTTATCCCTTACTATTCAAAATTTTTTTCGACCATTTTCATATAAAATAATAAATATTGACTAAATCTAATATAAATATAATATTTACTGAAAGTTATTTTTTGCAAGGAATTATCTTTGGATAAACTAATTTTATAAATATGTGCAACAATTTAGCGAAATACGGAAAAAGTAAAATTAACATGAAGTGGTCCAAACTTTGGAGCACTCTCCTTATCAAACTATTGGGATCATATATCTCAGATTGCTGCTACCCCCCCCCCCATAATTTTGGGGTTAAAAATCCTAATCCGTCTAAAAAAAGTATGTTTATTCAGACAAAGTACGTTTTTGGTTTTTGTGTCTGCTTTCGGAACTTAAAATATCGTCTGCACTTGCACTTATTATCCCGGATCATTAGATCAAAAGTTATTCATCGTGGTCCGTTTTATTTATTTATTTTTTAAATTTTTTTTTTATCCCGCATTGTACAATCTTTATCATTTGGTGGTGGTGTGGGGTAATGATTATTATTATTATTATTATTTTTTTTTCAATTTACACTTTCCTACTTTTTAACTCACTTTAGTTATAAAATTTAACTAATAAAACATTTCTTTTCTGTTTAAGAATGTATACTTTTTTAATCAATATTTTGTTTAATTATGTTAGTTTTATGTATTTTATATTAATAATTAAATTGGCTTTAGGGTGAAAAAGCAACTTTACTTTTTCTGATAAAGGTAATTAATATTAATACTAATACTAAAAATTATTACGAATTTATTTTAGTAGATTCTGTATAGTGAGATTTTCTCTAGTTTAGAAATTCTATCGTACTTATAAAACGGTTTTTACTTGTTTCATCTTATTTTATCTTATTTCAAAAAACGATTTTGAAAGATAGTAAAATACCTAACTTAATTTAAATTTTTTTTCTTCTAAAGATAGCATAAACAGTTTACTTTAAAATAAGAATAAAATTTTTTTAGCGTCGTTATAGCATCATTTTACATGGTAAAATGTCTACTACCCATTAATTCTTTCAAAAGTACATGGTCACATGAACTTTTGAAAGAATTAATGGATAGTGGTAAAATCAGGTGCAGTTTTAAATTTTATTTTTATATCTTTACCGTAGAACATTATACACAATGTCATTTTTATAAGGAGTTAAGAAGGAGCTTAAAAATTTCTGGAAAATTTGCAGTATTGCAGAGTTTCATTATATTTAAAACATAATTAGATACTAGCTTACCAGCTTTAATTTGTTATTTTTTTAAAAAATTAATGTAGTATTTCAATTAGTTTTTTGAATTTCATAAAAACGTTACTTTAATAAAGATTCTTTACATATATTTCTATAATTTTTTTTTAATAAAACTAATTCTTTAGAGATCTCAATTTTATTTGAATGTTGACCTTCTTTATCTTTCCTAGAAATGTTTTGTACTGTATATATGATTTTGATTTTCAGTCAAAAATAATTTATTAAATCTGCTGAAATGGAAGAGAAGGTGTTGACTGCTATTGAAAATGTTTTATTTATTTATATTGTACTTTGTATGTATTTCTCTCCATGGTTTACATTTATCGTATTCAAAATTAATTTTATTCTGTAAAATGGTAACACGTTTTGTTTTTTCAATAAAAATAAAGTTATTTATTTTTCAAATTGGATTTTTAGAGTTTTTCTTTAAAATAGGATTTTTGTTGTTGTAAATCTGCTGTAAAAATAACCAACTCATTTCAATACGTTTGAAAATTAATATTTAAGTTTCAAATTTGATTTTCGTTGTTTTTATTTACCAAATGAGGCTTTTTTTTTAATGTTTTATAATTTCTCTTTCAGAATAGTGCTCCAGTTTGGGATGATTTTCTACTTAAGGCTATAAAATTTCAGGGACAGCTTAAGTAAGTAAAAGTTATTTAAACTGGAATTTATATGAAATTTGCATTTGTGACATTGTTATAAAATATTTATGAGGCCTCGATCCATTTTTAGAAAATTTATATTTGATCGAAAATATCTCTCATCAATTCATATTCGTTGGGGTAAAGGATTTTGGTTATCATATGAAAAAAATTCAATATCAATTTTTAGAAATTAAATAAAAGAGAAAAAAAAAGTACCGTCAATTTTTTAGAAATCTTATATTTGAGATAGAAAATATCTATGATTCATTCATTTGGGTCGGGGTAAGTAATTTTGGTGGTACATGAAAAAAGTTCGATCAATTTTTTTCAAACTAAATATCAGATATAAAAAAAAAATGCTTTGTCCATTTCTAGTAACTTTATGTTTAAGATTTTTTTTTGAAAAAAAAATATCTCTCATCAATTTATTTGGGTTGAGGTAAATGATTTTGGTGGTGATTTTAGAACAAAGTTTATCAATTTGTAGGAATTAAATATCAGAAGTAAAAAATTCTGTCCATGTTTAGAAATTTTATATTTGAGGTAATAAAAAAAAACTATATTTAAATTAAATTTATGTTGGTTGGGGTAATGAAAAAAGTTTTATTTTTAGAAATTATTGCAATTTTTTTAAATTTAATATAAAAGATAAAAACATCTCTCATCCATACTTTTGTACTGAGGTAAATAATTTTGGTGGTACATAAAAAATGTTCGATTAATTAATTTGTGAAATATCAGGGATAAAAAGAACAAGTTCTGTCTGTTTTTAAAAAATTTATATTTGAGATCGAAAATATCACTCATCAATTTTTTGGTTTGGGATAAATAACTTTGGTAGTATATAAAAAAGAGTTTAATGTTTAGAAATTAAATATCAGATATATAAAAAATGTTCTGTACGTTTTTAGAAATTTTATATTTGAGATAAAAAAAAACTGTCTCATATTCATTAATTTGGGTTGGGGTAAATATTTTTGAAACTTTAGACGAATAAAGGAAATTTAATACCAGAGATAAAAAAATATCTCTCATCCACGCGTTTGGACTGAGGTAAATGATTTTGGTGGTACTTAAAAAATATTTGATTAATTTGTAGAAATTTAATGTCAGAGATTGAAAAAAAAAAAAAGCTCTGTCCATTTTTAGAAATTTTATATTTGTAATAAAAAAAAACAAAAAAATGCCTTTAATCAATTACATGTTACATTATTAAAACTTCAATCATTCTTAGAAATTAAAATCTGAGATAAATAATGTCTCTCCTCCATGCGTTTTGATTGAGGTAAATTATTTCGATTCATTTTTAACAGTTATATTTTAGACAGAAACAATGTATCTCCTCCGGGCATTTGAATTGAGATAAATGATTTAGATCCATTTTAAGAAGTTTTATATTGATCTCTCATTCTTGTATTTGGATTGGGGTAATGATTTTGTGGTAGACGAAAATAGTTCAATCATTTTTTTCAAAAATTTATAGATGAGATCAAAAATATTTCTTGATGAATCTCTCATTTGGCTTAAATTGAAATTAAATGATTTTGGTCGCAAATGGAAAAGAATAGAGGTGAATGTTTATTTTAAGTTTGTTTTAATGGGTATTTTTTTTTTATTAGAAAAAAGGTTTTGATACTAGGACTAATTTATTACTTTCGTTGCTTTCGTTATTAATCGTTAATTTTTAAACAAAAAATAATAATTATTGGAGTACAGTTTAAATATTGCCAAATCTCTATTTCAGATCAACCATTCTTGCATCAACATCTTTTCTGGACGCATTTCAAAAGATAGCCGATATGGCCACCAATACCAGAGGTATGTATTAATTAATTTTGCAGTTAATGACATTTTTCATTTTTTTTATTTATTAAAATACGAATTAGATATCTTAAAACAATATTTTTTAACTGAAAATTGTGTTATATTTGTCAGGAAAATAGCCTTAAAGTTATATTAACCCTCAATAAAAGAAACCATTTTCGACTGTTATATTCAATAGTTTCGACTGTTGTATTCAATAGTCCTGTCAATAGTTCAGAGTTGCCTAGAAGTTTCAGTATTGAAGAATCGTGAACTTATTTTACAAAAATTGCAAGCAATACGGCAAGTGTTTTTAAGGCTAATAGTTTTAAAATAGCTTTGGAAATATTTTGAACTTGCATTTTTAATAAAATATTGTTAAGTACTTACTTTTCGTATAAACTGAACAAAGATGAATTTTTTTTTTTTGTTTTTTTTTTGCGCTATTTTAGAACCGGGAATGACTTCTTGTTTCTTTAGAACAATGCTAGAATATTATCTTTATAAATATGCTGTCTTTATGTGGCCACAGCCGTTTCTCGGACGCTCCCGTGGTCTGTTGGTGCTCAAATCAAGGGGAGAACTGGATAAGTTGAACGTCAAAATTTTTTTTATGTTTTTTCCATACTGCAGTGCAATTAAAAAATAAAAAACATAGGTGCTTCGTGATAAATGCCGAGAAAAGTGGCTTAATAACTTTTTTCTTTCTATTGCTAAAGTACGCTTAAATAGAATTTCAGAAAACTGATAAAACAAAAATTTTTTTTATCAAAAAATTGTCTTTGCAACATGTAGTTTATCATACAGGGGTACCAAATGTAAACAAATCTCAATTTTGAATTTTTTTTGTCGCTTGTGTTGTTTTTTCTATTGCACGGCAGCATAGGTGCCATTCCTTGTACGACTTTTTACAACAGCATATTATTTGTATGGTCAATAATGCAGAAAAAAAACTGGTATATATTTATTTTTATTATTCATCATCATTAATTAAATTTAAAAATGAATACGTGATACAGCTCACTGTATATGTTTGTTGTTTCTGATCCCCAAAATGGTCTATCTAAATTAGATCAAGTCTATAAATCTCCAAACAGTCTTGGAAGAAAAGTAGTTCTGAAGAAAAAAAACAACTTTGTGCCAGAAAAAATGGCGACATTTTAACCTATAGATAGAAGATGCTCCAGCCAGCAGCCTATACTGCTTTCTTTGACTTTGTTCTGCCGTCTCCTCCACTATGTACTGGTAAAACGCGATATACAAGTTTGTTTGCATCTATGGTTGCCAAAAAGTAGGATCCATAAGGATAATTTTTTTGAGTTTCAGTCATGTACTGGATATTAGATGGTCATTTCAGAGATTTTTAAGTTTTTTCTTAAACTCGGGGAGATAAACTTCTTTTCCTGTCTGACTAGAGAGTATCCAACCTAAGCGTTATTTTAGTTTTTACGTGTGTCTGTTTTTTTACATTAACAAATAGAAATTTATTGTCATCCAAGTACATGTAAAAGATGTCTTTTATAATGTTCTCATATCTGCTTAAATAGAACCATAATAATCTAAAAATTTCCAGTAATTTAATGATTCAAATAGTTATTGTTAGTATCTTGAACCTCGTTTCTAAAAATATGCCCGGAAGATCACCACATAGATTTTGTACATTTATTATAAATGTAAATTCATTTTTTCCCCCAGCGTTATTTAAAAAATGTTTTTTTTTTTTTTTTTTTTTTTTTTAATTATTAGCATAAAAATAATTTTCTTAACGTTTATCATTTTTGTATAGTAAATGCATGGTTTTTCAATGCTGGAACTTTTAAGACATTCAGTTTTTGAAAAATGAAGGGGAAAAAAAACTTGATAAACATGTGCAAGAATCGTATATTATAGACCTCTTATGTAAATCTTAGTCTTTTTAATTTTATTTCATTGTCATCCCTGAAAATGGATGTCAGATAGAGACGTCCAGGTCTGTAATCTTGTGAATTTGAACCCAACTCCCAAAGTCAAATTTGGAGAGTCATTACGGATTAAAAATTAGCAATTTTTCGACTTTTTCAAAACAAAAAAAAAATTTTTACTAATTTTTTTTTTTTGAAAATTAATTTTATGACATTTAAAATTAATTTGCAAAATACTCGTACTATAAAAAAAACGCGTCTTAGTTACTAATGAATTTGTTAGTAATATCTGTTAGAGTTGATTTGTTCTTTCTGTTTAATCCTAACATTAACTCCTAAAGACATTCTTAAATACAAATTATAATTATTTACTGAATTTCAGTTAAATTTCCTAGACTGTACCTTTTCGAACTGCCATCATTATTTTCAAAAGAAATTTTAAAATCGTGATATCCATTCAAAAAGCTACTACCGAATAATGATTCTGACCCAGTAATAGTCGGTAATAATAACAACAGCCTTATTTTCTGCAACAATTACAGTGATCCAATGCGCGAGCATCTGATTCTTTTATTGAATCGATGCAAAGCCTATTTTTCTATATTATTTTGTTGAGACTATTGTCTTGCGAGTGACCTTTTTCTATCGGAAAAAAAGAAAGGAAATCAGTTATATGATACTAAAAATCCGCTACCTACCCGTCATATCCGCAACAGACTAGTCTGAGCGACTCGCCTTGTTTTTTTTCCGGACGGTTTAACCCCTAATCTTTTCCACGCGAATACATTTATGTTCGATTATTTTTATGCACTTCCTTTAGGAAGAGACCTATCCCGAGTGAGAGCCATTTTAAGGTCCGGCAAGGTCAACTAACATAATAGACCTTATTTTATTCGGAAACAAGTATACAAAAATACTATAAAAGAACATTATTTCAATATATACTACAGCTTTTATTTATTCTTGGTGATATTTCAGATTTTATTAGTTGGTGGCTTTTGTTTATATTATCACCTGTTTCGTGTTTAGCCGCCACCTGTGTTATAAAGTCACGATGTCCATGGCCTTGACTTGACCGCTGACTTACTTCTATCGTTTTGGAAAGAAGAAAAAAAAGGGTCGGAGATGTGTTAACTTTCATTTTATGAGATCACGCGATATTTGCGATGGGGCGTACTGGTGAATAGGCATGGAAATTTTAATTCTGGCAGCGAAAGGGCTGTACGTAATAAAGATATGCGTTTTTCTTTTATATGCTGTCAAGGACACCCTTATGCATTCTTTTTTATTTAAGTAGTCAGCTTTTGTTACTTGTGGATTACATTTATCTTAATTGTATTCGTCCATTTCCTCTTTTGGGGTCTGTTAAGTTTATTTTTCGTTCGTAAAATAAATCTTGAATTATTGAACTTATGTTATATATATCAGAATTTTCTTTCTCCATCGTTTTGTTAAGTTGCTTTTCTAAAAACCGTTGGAAGTGGTTGAAAATTTTATTATTATTATTAATTTATATAGCGGAAAAAGTTGAATTCGATGAAATTTAATTCGAAATATTGAATGAAATAGAATCTGAATAAAATTGAATTCGATCTTTTGATCATTTTTGGTACTTAAGAATAAGAAGTGTTTTTATTTGACCGAAAAGACTTTTTGCGCGCGTTTTATTATTATTTATTTTAATTATTATTTATTTATTTAACGGAATTAAGTTAGAACTAGATATTAAGATAGATTATTAAGTTAGACCGAAAAGACTTATTACGCGCGTTTTATTATTATTTATTTATTTAGCGGAATTAAGTTAGAACTCGATATTAAGACAGACTATTAAGTTAGACCGATATTATTGCAATTGTTTCATTAAAAAAAATAATAACTATTTCATTATTTTTTTTAAAGAAATTATTTAAAAGTATTTAATCTAATTAATATCAAACACACTTTCTGGAATTTTACATAACTATTGTATCCGTTATATAAAATTCCAGAAATCCAAAGAAAGCTGTCAGTAGTTAATAAAATTTAAAAATAACATTCGTTGTTAATTTATTTTTTTTACCTATTTTCTGAAGCAATTTTCATTTTACGCGTTTTAAAAAGTAAATATTGATTCTAATATATACTAATGCTGGGAATAATTTATTTGCTTTAGTATCGTTTCAATTTATAAAAAAAGTTATATTTGAGTGATTTTGAATAATTTTTAGAAGAAAAGAATGTTTAATCTTCTCAAACACAATTTGATAATTAAATAAATTTTTTGTCACCATTATATTTTCTATTTATTCTTGGTACAAGTATTAGACTCATTACAAATGCATGATTTTTTTCAATGATTCTAAATTTTTATCTATTGTTTAGTTAAAATGTTAGAACACTTCAACGTTATATTAGTTTTGGGTGTAGCATTTTATTTTATATATAGTCCATCTATAATAATAATTGAGAAAAATGTAAAATATATCAATCAGCGTTTTCTTATTTTTCTCGTTAAAATTTAAATTAACATTATTTTTTTTTGCATTTAAAAAAGGTGTATATTTTTTTTTACTGCAATATTCGTATAGAAATCTTTTATACTCTTTCTATCCATAAATGATATCCCCTAAAATATCTTTAATGACTATAGTAAGGTTTAAAGCTACGATAGATTTTTGTTAATTGAAATTCTGAACTCTTAATGCCTCTGTGTGCTTTCTATTCAATTTGTAAAAAGTTTTGTGAGAGAATTCAGTCTGTTACTTTGAATTTGGGAAGGAAAAAAAAAGTTCAAAAAAAAAAAAAAACTAACTAACTTTAGTGTGGAAACGAGTGAAAATATTTTCGGAAATATATACTATAGTTCCATTGAACTCTTCCAAATTCAGCTACTTCACATCGTCAACATCATCTTTTCTCAAAGAGTAAAACCTTTACCCTCATCTGTTTACTTGTAGAGAAGACGGTAAAAACACGATTTAAAAATAACCTCAGGTCTATGGGAAGCTAGGTTTTCCAAACTTGCATTCGAAAAATCGTTCTCATCCAAATTCACCCTCTCCCTCTCAATTCATCCATCCGTGATAATGCAGGAGGTTGTGGCAGTGAAAGAGAAAAAAAGAAAAAAAATTC